TGCATACGTTCTTTTTTCATGATTACAAATTCCATTGTTTCTACTGGAAAATGTGCTCAGGTAGCATAAATCATGGGTCACTGCTTAAACAAGATTGCTTCCCTATTTGCATATTAATAGGAGAAATAAGGAGCCATTAAAGCCAACTCTAAATGAAAACATTTCAAATTTACAAGCGACACATTTTTCATTTCAGTAATAGTGTGCAGTACTTCTTAGCAAGCCGTGTTGGTAAATAAGAAATTTGCATTAACAGCCTTGCTGATAACTTACTGATTTCCCCCCCCGCAGGAGCTCTGAATCAATACAGCAAGTTAATTACCTCTTGACTGCAGATGGTAGTTTCGGAAAGGAACTTTGGACTAGGCAACATTTTCCTGATTTTGTTTTCCAGTAATTGTCGGTGACAGAGCTTATGGAGCAAGCACACTTCACTGCTAAGCTTCCCCTAGATAAAAACCCCGAGTATCTGGTCCTTCTGATTTAAGTTCAGTCTGTCAAGGAGAAATGTAAGCTGGAAGCCACAAAATGTTACTCAATAAGGGGGGGAAAAAAAAAAAAAAAAAGAGGCAATTTATAACTGTGGAACATAAGTGGATTGAATAGTACTTAAAGTACAATTATACTCTGAGAAGTGACTTTGGGAAAGTCGTGATGACTGAAGAGTTCTGCTATTCAGACTCTGCTCCGAGTCCTGTCCTGATTTCAACTGAAGCTACGTGTAATTTTTACGTCACTTGAAATATATTTTTTGTGCTTAACATAGAATTCAAGAAATATACTCAGTGTTTTAGTATGAACACATTTACACCGCTAAAAATTGATGAGTGTACCTAAGCAGTGTCAGCTGAAGCCCTAATATTTTCCTGCTGTTATATCTAGCTTTGCATCATAAATATTTGCGGATACGTGATTTATATATAGTTTAGAAATTGTGATACCTGAAGTGACCCAAAAGCCCTGATCAAGTCTAATGTCAATAATATGGCTGTGGGAGGGAGGTTCAGCTTTTATCACAGTATCAGCAGAAATAGAGAATCTCACCCCCATCCTTCTCGGTGGCAGCCAGGTCTTTGTGCATCCCGCAGCCAGCTGAGGCGGGAGCGCGGGCGCTGCAAGCAGCGTGGCCACCTGCACGTTTCAGGGGGTGGGAGTCAGCAGAGCAATGTCCAGCTCACGCTGGTCCTCAAGCAGAGGAGCTAAGTCACACACAGATCAAAACTGAGTACACGGTACCACCAGCGTGGTGGTGGGTGGGGAGAGTTACTCCCTTCTGTAGCTGGGCATATCCACAAGTACCTGCTGGACCTGGAGTCTGACTTTCAGCAGTCAATTCATGGTATGGGCGGGGGGGTGTGTGTATGGGTAGGGAGAGCCTGCTGGACAGTCATTCTGAGCACACTTGCTTTGGAAGGTATTTAAAAATAATTAGTTGCAGACGTTCCGGCATACTTGACCTTCATAAAGTTCTCAAACTGATGCTCAACACACTCAGCCGCTGTGTTATTAAACGCTTTTAGTTACCTAAAAAAAACCCAAATTGAAGTATTTTGCAGATTGTATAGCTCTCTTAGTGAGGAAGGACCAACTTGGAATGTTTTCAGTGTTCTCTTTGACTTCGTATTTACTTCTCCCGCTCCAGCTGTTCAGCTTATGCAGGTCAGCAGAGTCTTCTGCTGGGCTCGTTTAATGCGCGTGAGCTATTTGACCTATCTAATAATATATGAGCTGCCCCTTGTGGCACTGAAGGAAAATATCAGCTGTGTCATCCCAAGCCCGCAGGGCATTTGTGATGCCATGGGGTGTCTGGGACGTCGGCGTGGCAGATGTGACACGGGACCCTGCAGGAGACCTGAGCTCTTCTGGTGGGGCAGCCGGGGCTGCCAGAGACCCCCCTGTGCGCAACGGGATTGAACTTCCTCTGTCTGCGTAATTTCAATATCAGATCAAGTGAAAAAGACCAAACTCTCAGTCTCATAACATCGTCTTTAAAGCAGGTTCTCCATGCTAAGCCTGAAACTGCTTTGGACAGAGTGAATTGGCACTGCTGAATCTGTCCAAGCAGATGTACCTCAGTGCGGCTTGAATTTAAATTATCGACTTCTACTAGATCGTTAACAAGAAGCTGATATCCCTGAATGCAAATAAAGCTAGAGAATAAAAATCTTCATACTGCTGAACATATTAAACGCAATTATAAACCCCCAGTAACATGAGCAGAGTAAGTACAATTATCAGATTTTTTTTGTATTGCTTAAACCCTGTATGTGCAGGCGTCTCAGTCTCATTTTTAACCGACAGCCCAACACAGATGTGTTGGCTCAAGCTTAATTTGGATGTAACAGATTCATCTGAGGAGTAGCTAAGGCAACAAACTAATTACACATGCCAAGAGGCTGAATTAAACTTCACTTCCCAGAGATTCTCAAGTGATTTCAGAAGCTTGAACTACCAGATAACTACAAAAATGTTTTGTAAATAGTAGACATCTCCCATCATAGCCACTCAGTGCATTTGTAAATTGGCATTGTTATTTTTAACAACCATGACATCAAAATTGACGATTGTTTCACTGCAATTTCTAGCTAAAATGTTCCAAAGACTCTTTTAAAAAGTTGGGACTGGAAAATGTCTAAGTATAATTTCTCAAAATTCAAATAAATGAAGAGATGTTCAGCTGAGATTATTGAACCCTACTGTAGCAAAGCTGGTTTATTCTTTTGAGAAGGCAGTTTAAACCTGGTATTGTGCGAAATAGTCTCCAGCTCATCCGTAAGATATCTGCAGGAGTCCCGTCCCGTCCAGTGCCTGGGAAGAGCAATTAGTATGAGAAAATTATCCTTAACAGGGGTCTACCTACATTGCGGCCTTGTATTCTGTTTACCCCAACCTTTTTGCTTTGAGGAATATAAAGAAATTGTTTGAGTAGAAGAAGTTCAAGTATTTAAACCTTCTTCCTACATCAGCTTCGTAACGCCTTTGATACACGGTCTGTGCCCCAGCCTGGGGCTGGGCATGGGAGAGCAGGAGGGAGCGTCTGCCTTGGCCAGAGCCGCCTTTTGCACCCTCCCAGCTGTGCCCCCCTCTGCGGCGTGGGGGTGCTCCGGGCACCCACCTCGGGGTGCAGAGGAGGCGCTGACTGCAAACGTTCCCCGCCGGGCTCATACCTCCCTCCCATCTGTTCCCGTGGCCGCCAGACCTCGGACGCGACACAGCCCGAAGCACTTTCCCTGCCTTTTCTGCACCATTAACGCAGCGAGGTGCTCCGAGAGGGGATGAGTCATCTCACAGGGCCTTTTGGCAGCGGCTCCTGAAGCCGCAATCCTGCAGGCAATGGAATTCTAAATGAAAATACAGGTGAGGCTGCCTCCAAGACCTGGAGACTCTCCTTTTCCGTTCACAGTGGTTGTGGCGAAGGCGTCCGTGCCTGCCGTCACAGTCCTCCTGGGGAGGCTCCTGCAAGGGGACGCTGTGGGGAGCTTTCCCTGGCCGTGTAGACAAAGTTAAGGTTACCTGAAGGAAACTGCCAGCGTGCTTCAGGCGTTCCAGTTTTGAAAAGGCAAGCTGTGAGAGCCCACGGCCATCCTGTTTTCCTTCCCCTCATTCTCCTTCTGCCCTAGCTCTTCTTCCTCACATCAGTTACTCACATCTCTCCCGGATGCCCATATTTCATCCTTACACATTGGGCTTAGGAGAAACAAGGTCACCACGGATTGCCTGAGCTCTCTGCAGGTTTAAAGCAGTTCAGAAATGTTGATTTTCTGAGAGCTCTTGCCTCTTACCTGGACACAGTCCCAGGCTAATGCAGTGACACATTTATAGGACTGAGGTGATTTGTGCCCAGGTGCTTCAACTACACTGTGCGCATACACCCATATTCATTTGGATGTTCCTATCCATGTTCATTTTAGCCTGGCTCTGAGGAAGGATTTCTGTGCAGAAGGGGCTGTTGGGCGTTGGAATGGGCTGCCCAGGGCAGGGGGGAGTCCCCGGGATCCCTGGAGGGGTTGAAGAGTCGGGCTGAGCCAGCGCTGAGGGATCTGGGGGAGTTGGGAACGGTCAGGGGAGGGTCATGGTTGGGCTGGAGGAGCTGCAGGGGCTTTTCCAGCCCGGATGATTCTGGGATACTGGGATACAATGTCAAGGCAAGTACTGACCCAGTGGGACTGTAACTCCAGCATGATCCATCCGTGCTCTTCAGATGGGTGTCCCAGCTTGTTAAACTTACGCTCCCATCTTAAAACAAGTTTACAGCAGCAAACAGTGAAGCGCTACCAAATCAATCACTAATTGCACATCCCGCTCTCCCATTCACTTCTTCCCCCTTTCTAAATAAAAGGAAGGGTCAAGGTTGAATTTCCATCCTTCACCAAATGAGAGGCCACCTCGCAGCAAGTGGCCCCTTCCTTACCAGTAACTGCATTAGCTGTGAGTAGGCTGAAACCTCCTGTTTATCTGCCAGCACACAGAGCACGGTTACACAGACTGTTGCACTGGTGACTCATCTGATTTATTAACAGGTACAGCGCTCACCACCTTTTCCTTGCTTCTTCTGTAGACAATTCCTACTACTGTTCTTCCTGTGTATATGTAGATTTAGGGTAAGATTCAAACCATTCTGCCTCAAGAGCCCACGCAACGTAAGGCAAGGGCAGCCACCAAGTCAGATTCCTCAGTGTGGGAGAAAGGAGTGGGGATCAGTTGGCGTCTTTTTGGAAGACGCACCCTGGAGAATTTTATTTTCTCAGTGTTTAATTTTTTTTCTACATACTGAGTCTAGGTGGACTCTGCCTAAAAACTCTGCCTAGGTGGTTGTGGTTGGATGTTTCATAGATAAGGATGTCCAATGTGACCAGTTCCGTACTGGTCTGTATAAAGCTATACTGTGACAGATTAGAATGAGAAATTAAAATGCTGTCATTATACGATGTAATTAGGGTGGCTTAATGTGGCTGAAATAGACTGTGGCATGAGGGAGGGAGGACATCTCCCTGTCCAGCCTGGTGACAGAACCGACCCCTGCCTCTCCTCAGCCTGAGCTGCCGAGACCCTTGGCTGTTCGGAAACGTTTGTAATCCCCTACCTGGGCATCCTCATTCTGCTGCAAGGTACAGTTCCCCTTCCTCTTCCCTTTCCATTTTTTCTCTTTATTTCTCTTCCTCTTTTTTTCTTTTTCTTTCTGTTTTTGTTACCTTCACACTGTGTTCATGCTTGTGGCTGTGTGAATAGAATGTTTTCAGTCCGTTATGTGTACGTATCACCTCATCATATCTAATGGCAGCAGTATAATTATAATGCTACAACAGAAAACATTGGCTGTGTGGACAAGGCTGTAATAGCAGCCTGAGTGCTGTGAGTTAACCCACTCACTCTCCTCCACCACCACGTCTGGGCCTTTCCTTGAGAAAAATGTGTCTTTAACAGTCACATTCACCCTTTCCCAAAGGCAAACAATAAGCATCTCCTGTTAGCTAAATCAGGCAGTCATCTTAACTCAGGAATTTACCAGCATAAACAATAATTTCAGCGCTGTTCCAGCAGTAACCAAACAACTTTGTTCATCTCCGTTACGGGATCTGAGCTGTGATCTGGTTTTATTCCAGTTAAACCGTACAGGTTTTCTAAAGCCACATCTGAACTGTGCTGGCCTCTAGAAGTCTGTGCAGGTGTTATACCGTGTACTTTCAGGTTGCTCTAGCCCTGCTCTTCGCTGGTCCACATCCGTATTACTGTGGTTGTTGAAGGGTTTCACAGCAGTCCCAGCCCTCTGACTCTCTCAGGGAGTTAACAGCTCTTGTTAGCAGCTGGCAGACCATTGCTGCAGCACTCTATTATCTTATCTAACAGAGGATTTTATGGCTATATTTAGTTTAATTGAAGAATGTCCTAGAAAAGGACTCATGGCAAGTTTCATTATCAATATACCAGATTACATACGGACAAAATTTTAAAAAGAAGGGAGGAAAAAAGTTAATTGGAACCAGAAATTACTTTGGGCAGTTAAAATCCTTCAGCATTTTGTTGATATGTAGTTGGTATTTAGTCGCTGGATGAGATGATCCAGGACTAGATCTTTTTCTCCTACTCATTTCGAAGCTAATGGTCAAAAGCATGCTCGCTTCCATTGGATAAGCATTTATTTACTTCACTAATCCCACGAAATGACATTAATTCCCCATGGAGGCAGCTTGTTTATAGCATATTACAAAATCTGACTTCTAGATTAAAAGGCTTTACTTTGCCCTTATGTTTGAGAAGAAGACTTGTCTTCAGAGGAAAAAAAAATAGCAGAAATCGGGCACTTGCTGTTTACTGGTAGGAAGTAATTTTGCATTTTCCTTACCAGATTTCATGATGGGTTGCTTCACAGGATGGTCAGATAATTGAAGTTAGGAAGGGCTGCAGGAGGTCTCTGGCCAGCCTCCTGCTCAGGGTCAGCTCTGAGACCTCAGGGCATGTCTTCACAGCAGAAAACGTCAGAGGTGAGTCTTACCTGTGGGCTGGAAGCTCAGTTAATGTGGTGCCTTGCCCAGGTTCGTTAGCCTGCCTGAAAAGGAGTAGTACATTCCTGTGGCTCTATTGCCTCTGCCTGAGAGCCAGCTGGGGCCCCTCAGTCCGCCACGGCCGTGCGCTACCTCATTTTCTGACGCTGGCACCAGTACAGAGGGACTCCAGGAGATGCGGGTGGGGACACTGCTCAGCACACACCAGTATCTGCAGTGTCTCATCCCAGTGACAAATACCATACTTAACCCTATCAGTAAAATGTGCTCCTGGACCTATGAAGTAATGTGCACTTGGCTGGGGAAGGCTGGGACTGGCTGATCTTCATAGCTTTGGACGCTTTTTATAGCTTCTAGGGATGGACATCTGCGAGACTCTTAAACCTTCTTGATAATTTGGAATTGTTGCTTTAATCTAGTTTTATTTGTTGTCCCTGAGATGAGGCTAATCTTCCTGCATTTTGTCGGCTTTCTGAACAACACACACTGTTTCCTTCTGTAATAGCCAGGCTTTAGTTCATGAACCCCAAATATCTTGGGAAAGCTGCATTCACTGCAGCAGAGTTTATGCTGCAGGACCAGTTACAGCGTCCTCCTGTTGTCAACTCATTTACGTACCTCATGAATACAGTTTCCAACCCAGCAGGTGTTGTGCTATTCTCGTTTCATATATGGAGGCAGTTTTTTCCCCTGCTGATCTTCCTTAGCAGGGAATGGATGAAAGCACAATGAAAACTGTTTGGACACTTGGTGATTTAAGAGCCTGTTGGCTTGAGGCTCGTGCTGTGAAAATGTCACATATCCTAATCCTCGAATCTCCAGCATCCACAGCGTCACAGCGCAGCAAAGGAAGCGCCGCCGCTTGCAGCCTGGCTCAGGTGAGCGATGAGTTGCCACGAGCAGTCTGGTTGCTGGTGGAGCTGCAGTGCTTCCCCGTCCCCGCAGCCTCACGCGGCTTAACGCTTCAGAATAACGTTACCAATACTGTCATTTCGCAGGGACCAACCACCTTTTCCTTCAGATTGTCTGAGCCATTAACATACCCCGCCTTGCGCACACAATTCTGCTGGCTGGCATTTGTCCTCGGCTGTGTTTAGCTCTTAATTCCACCTTTGAATTTCGGGAGAGCTTTCGTGCCCCAAAGCTTGTCTCGGTTTTGTACCTCTGTTAACATTCATGTTTTCACAGAGTGGAGTCCATTTAACAACACCCAAAGCAAGCTTTTCTTTGGCTCCGGTACTGCATATTGCTTTGTCCCCATACCCTAAGGAAAAAAATTAAACTGCTCTTCAGGTAGTGTTAGAGCTATTTTTACTAGCAAAAATGTAGAAAACAGCTCTTTTAATAATATCTGTCATTATTTACTGAAACAACCATTCTTTCTTTACTAAAAAGGACTATCCAAGGCCAAAAACTTGTTTCCGTTTTCAGTGTACCGTTGCTGGGTCGTGTTTTCACTCCCGGTCAAGGGCAGACATCACCAAACTCATAGAGTGAACCTTTCCGCCAGCAGGTACACGCACTGTGTTCCCCAAAAAGCTAACCATAAGCCTTGTTCTCACACCCCCGTACAAAATCTTCCCTTTGAAACACTGAGGAGCATTCCCCAATCGTGACGGTGCCCCCACGCCTAGGACCTGTGGTCTTGGGGGCAGGCAGCCATTTGCCGAGGGTCGATTGTGGCTGATGTGTCACGGTGGCCCCATCTGCAGGGGGCCTGGGTTAAAAGACAGCTTTGATTGTAGCATCAGCACTGTCACGTCCCGGTTCTAGCAAGGATCCCTGAAGAACTGTCCTGTTCCCATGGTGCTGGGTGACAGCAAAGCCACTGGCAAGCAGATTTTACTGTGCTCCACTGGTATTCACTCAAAGTCCCTGTTTGTCTTCTCTGACATCACTGAAGATGTCCTGGAGCACGTGTCTTATGGGTGGGGAGCGGCTGGGGGAACTGGGGGGGTTCAGTCTGGAGAAGAGGAGGCTGAGGGGAGACCTCCTGGCCCTCGGCAACTCCCTGCCAGGAGGGGGCAGAGAGGGGGGATGAGTCTCTGGAGCCAAGGCCCCAGCGCCAGGCCCCGAGGGAATGGCCTCAAGCTGCCCAGGGCAGGGTCAGGCTGGCTCTGAGGAAGGATTTCTGTGCAGAAGGGGCTGTTGGGCGTTGGAATGGGCTGCCCAGGGCAGGGGGGAGTCCCCGGGATCCCTGGAGGGGTTGAAGAGTCGGGCTGAGCCAGCGCTGAGGGGTCTGGTGGAGTTGGGAACGGTCAGGGGAGGGTCATGGTGGGACTGGAGGAGCTGCAGGGGCTTTGCCAACCCAGATGGTTCTGGGATTCTAAGATATTATTTCACGTAACTCCCAGGTGTAGCTTTAGTTGAATCACGAGAGCTTTGAGTGTCAGGGTATTCCTAGCTTTGCACTGGTTTTTAACGTGCTTGAAAAGTTAACGTTGCTTGGAAAAAAAGCCTAGAACTTGTGTGAAAATAGTAATATGCATTGTGAATCTTTCCCTTTTCACTGATTGTCAGTAAAACGTGGTGCTTCAGTATCAAACAAAACTTCTAAGATTTATCTTCCCCAAAGGTGTACTTTGTGTATCATCTACTTACTGAAGGCTTCCTGGACCCCAGAAGAAGAGAAAAGAGCTGGGGTTGAATGGTGTTTCTGTTGAAGCTATTTGGATCAGCTGCCTTTAAGAATCTTGTTGTGATAATAACCCTGATAGTCAGAATGCTTATCCAGCTGCATAAATGTGAATGTGAGCCCTACATTCAGGCATGAATAACTGTCTGTCCCTGGAGTTTTCATCTCTGCGTTGTCAGCTAGACAATTAAATTATACATACATGTATTTGTTTTGTCATACTAAAGCAAAGCGAGACAGGGGAGTGTGAAGTTCAGAATATGGATGCTAATGGTCCAAATTCAGTCTTCCTGCAGGATAACAGACTTTGGCTGAAGTTTCACCAAGAATTAAATTATTCCAACAGACACAGGACATTTTCTGTCTTTCTGATGACCGAGTCCTGGCTGTGCATCACAGGAGGCTGGCTCTGAAGTTGTTATCCCCCAGAAAGTACCCACAGGATAAGACTTCTGGCAATTAATGCCCAATTCCCTGTTTCACCATGCTCGTGCTCACGAGGCAGGGAGGGTGGTGTGTGAGTGGGTGTAGGAAATGGGAAGGATGAGCTGTCAGGGATGAGTGAGCTGCCTTCATGTCCCTGAATTTTGCCTGTCCACATGGCAGCTCTGGAGAAGCTGCAGCATTGTGCCAACCTTTGGCAATTGGCAGTGACTCTCCAGGGAAGAGGATCAAGCTTGAGCACGATCAGAGCAAGTGTAGCAGTTCATATTTTGTATTTCTGATCCATCCCATACAGTGGAAGATTGTACTGTGGTGTATACGGGTCTTCTGGGGAATCTGTGCTGGTGCAGCCCTTCTCTGCCCCCCCAAGGGATAGGTGGGGCACACAGCCTTGGGCGACTGCCCACATGAAATCCTGTCCTGGGGACAGGATGTCACCACGCACGCAAATGCTAAGTCTTAACAGACATCAGTGACACGATCTGCTCTGCATACATTTCAAATAACAAATGCAAACTATTAGATT